AGTTAGTGGTGAATGAATGATAATCCATTTTTCATGTTGCATAATACTTTCTCTTCCACTACAGGATGTGATCTTTCAGTGGCTCACAACTGATGACATTCAGCTCAACAATATCGATGCTGAGGACCCTGAGGTTTTGCACTCTTCTATAAATCTTGACATTTTTTCTAATTTTCATCGGTTCTTAATAAAAATCATTATCAAAGAAACTAATTGGGCTGCAAGCTGTTTCTCGGAACCTTTGTGTCTCATGGTTTATCAGAATGTGTAACAATCTAATTTATCAATTTCACACTTGTTAGGTATCAGACTACCATTACATTCCCGATACTCCCAGGATGTCAGAGAGACTAAGAGTTTGCCTTCAAGAAGGAGATGAGGTATTATCATATGCACTAACAGCCACTGAGTCAGATCGTTTTTTCTACAGTGAAATAAGTCTCTGTCGCTTAAAGCAAAGCCAAGGTTCAGTGTTTACTGCAAGAGAAAAACTTTCATACATACGTGTACATGTTCCTCCCTTGCCACTACCCCCACCCCCTCCTCCAACATGTAGCAGGTGCTGTGTAGAAATGGTGTACAACAGAGAGAGGGTGATGAAAGGTATGCATTCCCTTTTGTATGTGCAACTCTACAACTCATAATCTCTATCAACCTTGCATCAGCTATACAGCTTATCATTCTCTAATTCAGAGCTTAGTCATTGACACTTATAATAAGTAGAAAAATGTTTTCAAAACAGTAGCAAAACTTTTATTTTATTATTGTTGTTAATAGAGTGTGGGAAGAGATATCACCAAAATGTTTGATGAGGATCTTTTCAAGCTTGATACAAGTGTGGTTCCCTCTGCCATAAGGTATTATTTTTAAAAGAAAGTAAAAAATATATTAGTGAAGTCTTGTTACTACCATTTATTATATGGCTTGTTCTTATAGCTGATATCATGTGCACTCTGATTGGGTAATTGTAGGGCATTATTCTCCCATAATGCCCACTGGCCGATTATGGGCTTGCAAAAACAAAGCAAAAAGCCATGTAATAAACAACTTAGTAACCTTGAACGTTCAGTCTTTACAGGAAAATCTGAAACCTCGACCTTGCCGTATTGACCTTGTTTTCACTCGGTCAATACGGCAAGATCTTGGTCTGAGATTTTTCAGTAAAGACCTCACTCTCAGTCAATAAGTAGTTAGTATAAGAGGTTCATTGTTGTTCTTATTCTAATAATATTTACATTACCTGTATTGCTCTGTTAACAACTACTGTTTATATAGATTTAAGTGAATGTTCAAAATACTACCAGAATGGTATATCTAATATTTCTATCAACTTGTGCTTTCAGCCAAAACATGAGTCATATCAGTTGACATCAGTTCAAATGGCCGACTGATAACTGCTTAAATGTCTTTATTACAATGTTATTTTAATGCTGTTTTGTTATTACAGAGCATATGAAGACCTAAGAGTGAAGCATGAACCTCTTCAGCTAATAACTCCTCAGTTTGAGACTCCACTTCCTCCACTTCAACCTGCAGTAAGTCTGTTTTATCATTGAAAATCTCTAGCAAAACTCTTATGAGAATGTCTGTTCAACCCCAGTAGTTAGGTTATAGGGGCTGGCATTCAACTCTGGGAAAAAACATCAATAGCATGAAGGACAAGGAGTATTGCAACTCCACCTGAGTGGAATCCTTGTCCATCAGTCAATGTGCTGCTACCCATTTTTGCATCAAGCTGGAGAGTAGCTCAGTAAAGAGTCATTTTTTTGCTCCAGAGCACAGCACAAAAACACCAGTAGTAATCTTGAAAAATAAACCTTGTTTGTCAATAAAGTGCGATATTAACTATTTTTCAATTTGATTGGTCATTGTTCACACCTGTCTCACACTCTGTGATTATAATTGAAATTCTTGTACCCACCTGTAGCAAACTCATTGCTGATATCGAGTCAGGTAGTCTACAATGTAATATCAAATTGAGCTAGAATTGTGTTTTACGTTTATTATTGTAGGTATTTCCACCAACCTTTCGTGAGCTGCCTGCTCCAGCACTGGATCTGTTTGATTTAGATGAGAGTTTCTCGTCAGAAAAGACAAGACTTGCACAGATAACCAACAAGTGTAAGTGACGTGTGGTTTATTAACCTTTGGACCCTAAATTCAGCACTTGAATTGTCTCCCAGTTGTTATCGACTTTTAAAGTATTTTTGATGATCAGCTTATGGAAACCTCAAGCCCGTAGTCTGATTATGGGGGAGACAGAGCTCAGCAAATGCAATAGCAGTGTAGACACATGTTCTCAACTCCTATACAAAAACTGTTCTAGAATCTTACCATTTTTCTGTCATTTCTCACATCTGCATACACACAAGATTGCAATTGCAACTATTACACATATTTGTCTTCTCTTCTAACCAAGAGAAATCCTGTGTTTTAGGCACTGAAGATGACCTTGAGTACTACGTTCGTGAGTGTGGGGATATCCTGGGAGTGTCCAGCAAACTGCCTTCTTCTGTTAGAGATGCCAAGCACATCTTGGACTACATCTTCCATCAAATTGTAGAGTTCAAAAAATTGAATCAGGTAACTGTCACTCTCTCTTCACTGTTGTCAGTTTCTGATGTTAGCATGCAGAAAGGATGCTTCAAACTTAAGATTCTCAAACATATAGGGATTTCTGGACATTTCTTTATTCTGTTCTAAATTTCATCTTTAGTTATTTTTGTCCAAATGTTTCAATTCAGGCTCACAGTCATTTGTATGCGATTGTGGATCTTTCATTTTGGCAGTATTACAAGTTAAAAACAATAATTTCTCTAATTGATTACTGTACAGTTCTGTAAGTTTAGCGAGGAAATTTCTGTGGTACATCGTCAAAACGTCTTCTAGTTGATGAATGACTGTATTCTCATCGCTTGTTTGTTTGACGATATATTGTAAGGAGAAATTAGATTTTGATCACTCGTGGGAATGAGGGGCTCAGTTCCTAGGAATCTTTGTTGGTACTAAGAATAGACAAGAAAAAGTATATTTTACACTTCTCCATGCAATAACTTTGGGTATTTTTATTGTTGTAGGAACCTCTGGATGATCCATCAAATGAACCTGCATTCACAGATGCTATGTAAATTTATTCTAGATGTTTCTGTTCTGTAGAATTTGGCCTGTTCCAGGGGTTTAATAAGTTGGGGTGCAGTGCCAAAAAAAATGATGGGAGAAAAATATGGGGGAGGCTCACCTTATACCTCTGCTATTTTTTCTTTTGCCGTTTTTCGTGCTGCTCCCCTCTAACTAATGCCTGGACCAGACTGCTTAGAATTTGACGCTCAAGGCATTTTAACTTATTTATTGTGGTATTCTCATACAGAACAGTCAAAGATGTTCACTTGAGAACAATCATGCTTCCAGGTGTAAGTTTCTAGGCAGTCTCTTTAAGAGAACAGAGTAAGTGGTGATCAAAGCCACACCTCTTCATAATTTTATCACAAGGAGTCTCAGGCTATAGAGAACTTTAAAATCGCTCCCATTTCAAAGAGAGTACTTAGAGCTAATAAGAAAGCTAGAAGTAATTTCACATTATGCAGTTTTGCATAGCTTGTTTGAAACGATCTTTATATGAGCATGGAGTACAATAGTAAAATGTAAATTATATAGCAATCGTGTCCTCTGAGCAGGCTCTCTCTGGTTGTGGATAAGGTAAAGAGAGAGGCCAGCCCCCAGCTTTCTCTCTGCTCGCCTAGGTCGCGGCCTTATCCTAATCGAGGAGCCTTTTCTGAAGACTTAGACACACCCAACAGTAACTTTAGATTAGTTTGTTTTCTTAGTTATAACTCTTGAGATATGTCATTGTGTACTTCTCGAAAGGATCTCAATCAATCGTTCGGTTTCTCCTTTTATAACGTCGTTATTCTGTACGTCTAGTTTGAATCTACTAGCGTTCTATCACGAATGCCGTTCTTTGATTGGCTATGCTACTCGCTATCTATTCTGTGATAGATGGAGCGTAGTAGTGTGCCTTGTTAACAAAATGACAGCCGCTTCCTGGCTTTTTCGAAGTGTCTGTGAAGAGGATTTAGATAAAGTTTTGAACGACTAGTAGATTTACACTAAAACAATCAGATTATTCGCTCTCGATTTCTATGCGTTTGCGCCCTCGTCAACTATCACGTGATAGAAATCTCGATCTCATAATCTAATTGTTTATTAACAATTCCTGAGCGAAAAACAATTATTCATTGGTAAATGTTTACGTTACACTTCAAGATTTACCCTCGACAGCTTAACAGTGCTTTTACGGTATTTGCTCGAGTCATAGAGTGGTTTTTAATCGAGTGTCGTAAAACCAAAATCATAGTTAGTAGAGGTCTACTAACTATGCCAAAACCAAACCAATTACTTAGCAATTAGACTACTCAGCCAATCTCAAACCGTAGTCAAACCAAAACCAAAACCCTGATCAGTTACTTTCGACACTCAATTGAAAACCGCTCTAACAATCTTCCATAGCATTTATCCGTTTTTCACAAGCTTGTACGGGTTATTTTGAACGATTATGCACCTTCAGGTAGTTTATATTTGAATGATTTATTGCATGAATGGTTTTAAAAGGTAGCAAATATGAAAAGAGAGACTTAAATTCAAAGAGAAGTTACCTTTGGACAAGATTAAATGCATTAAAAAGAACTTTTAATTATTTATTATTCCTTTTTCCAGACTATGAGGCCAAAAAATCTCTTTGTTGTGCATACATGTATATGGTTTCGTAGTTATTAGCGTGACAGAATCACTGTTACCACGATTAAGAAACCTATCAGGGAATTAGAAAAGGCTGGAAATTTATCCTCGAATTCTCCTGTCAGTTTATAATACAAAAAAACTCTGTCTTGAGTGTTTTAAAATTTGCAGTTTATTATTAAGGCTTCTTAAAGTCGATTTATCTGTAAATAGGTGCACATTTTGAATGAAGTAAAGTTGGTGTGCGTCTTGTAAATGTCTAAGTTCTCTTTGGTCTTGGAAACACCCTTTACTGAATACTAATTTACTGGGCTTATACTCTAGTTTTTTAGCCATCTAGGCTTCTCGCAGAATCTAAACCGTAATATTATTTTAAAGCCCATGCTAACTTGGAAAGAATTTAACACAATAAACTGAGCTGGAAGAAAGCGTTGCAGGTATTATGTAAAATACTCAAGACGCTCTATCACACTACGTTACAAGCAAAGTTTCGTCAAGGGGTTTCAAAGATTTCAAGTATAGGAAACCCGTTTCGATTGCCTTAAAAAACAAACAAAAAAACTTTGGAAACCCTTTGGAAACCCGGGGTGCTTACCATTTACAAAAACCATCCGGTTTGAAATTTCAGGCATAAACATTAAACAATTAAATGCGACGTCGCGGGAGAGGGAATCGCTATAAAGTATGTCCACATCAGCTAGAGAGACTTAAAAGAGTAGAAAAATAGCATCACCTCAAATCACAGCCCATAATTTCTGCAGCTTCCCAAATGGAATGGCGCGAACCATTTGATTTTCCAACTGGAATTTCCGGTTTTCCCATGAAAATGGTAAGTACCCCCGGTTTCAGGAGTTTGAAACCCTTTGGAAACGCTCTGGAAACTCATTAGAAACCCCTTGGAGACTCGTTAGAAACCCTTAGGGAACTCTTTAGTAACCCTTTTAAAACCCTTTGGAAACCCCTTAAAAACCCCGTTTCGGGAGTTTGAAACCTGGTTTCACCCAAATTGCCATGGTTCACGAGACGTTTTTTCGTCAGTATGAGGGTCATGACAATTATGGTAACTCTAACAACACCTTTGATCGTGTGGGGTTGAAAGAGTGACAACGCAACGGGGTGGGCTAGGTACCTAAAATGAATGCTCCTTGTACGTCCTCGCGTGGTTTTCTCGCTCGCTTATTACCGGAAAGATTCTGCTAAGAACCAGTGTACGCGAAATCTTGAAGTGTGGAGATAAGGTAGTGAACTTTACACTTAAAATCGTTCGCTTTAGTGACTTTAGTCACTACCTGACCCTTATATTGCTTCTGAAANGAGACTCGTTAGAAACCCTTAGGGAACTCTTTAGTAACCCTTTTAAAACCCTTTGGAAACCCCTTAAAAACCCCGTTTCGGGAGTTTGAAACCTGGTTTCACCCAAATTGCCATGGTTCATGAGACGTTTTTTCGTCAGTATGAGGGTCACATAACAATTATGGTAACTCTAACAACACCTTTGATCGTGTGGGGTTGAAAGAGTGACAACACAACGGGGTGGGCTAGGCCGTGACCTAAAATGAATGCTCCTTGTATGTCCTCGCGTGGTTTTCTCGCTCGCTTATTACTGGAAAGATTCTGCTAAGAACCAGTGTACGCGAAATCTTGAAGTGTGGAGATAAGGTAGCGAACTTTACACTTAAAATCGTTCGCTTTAGTGACTTTAGTCACTACCTGACCCTTATATTGCTTCTGAAATAAAACTTCTTGTTCAAATGCCATTTAAGTCACTTTAAATCTCTTCAAGAATAAGCCAGCCAAATATCAGAACCAATACAATGCTTTCCAATTACAAGAATCTATCGATAACTTTGATACTGCATACTCCAATCAAAATGAGATTTGACCACGGATCATACTTCCGGTTACTTGAAATATTCCGATCTCTTGATCTGGGAGGAGCCTGGAAGCCAAAACAAAGAACTTTCTTCTGTTGAAAGTTTAGAAGGAACAATATTTTTTCAGTATTGGAATCTCTAGAGGTCACAGAAGTTCTCTAAAAGAATGATTCAGTGGGGAAAATTATCTTTCTGTCCGAATGTACGAGTAGGTAAAATTTCTTCGATGGCTGTCAAGGTGGCGCGGTTTGGAATCCAGGCTTGGAAGCACAGGTAAATCTGAGTGCATTTTGTTTACCTCTACCTGCTCGAAAAGGAGAATTTCCGTATAATTTAGAATTATTCTTGAAGTCTATTATCTTCTAAAGTGAGATGATTCATTGTACTTTGATTTTATTGACTCTTTCCTTCTCTGTGGGTGTTGAAATCTGTGACAGGAACAGCGACAACTGCGAAGATACATCCAAAGTAAAACACGCGAACTTTTACACTTCACCTCAACCTAATACCCAGAGTGTCAATATTTCTTCAAGTGTAACTCTAAATGACGGCGTACAAATTCCGATATATGGCTTGGGAGTCTATCTAGCCGGATCTGGTGAAGAAACTCGACAAGCTGTGCTTTGGGCCTTGGAAAATGGCTATAGACAAATCGATACAGCGGCGCGATACATGAATGAAGAAAGTGTTGGTGAGGCCATTAGGGAGAGCAAGATTCCACGAGAAGATATATTTGTTGTCACGAAGCTGTATGACACTGATCATGGATACGATGAAACGTTGGCGGCTTTCAATAACAGTTTAGGAAAACTCGGAATGGAATATGTAGACTTGTATCTCATGCATTCTCCTCTGCCTGATAAAATCGTACCTTCTTGGAATGCCATGGTAAAGTTACAAGAACAAGGACTGATCAGGTTTGTAAGAAGTCCCTAGAGTTCTGTATGAACAC